AGATTCCAGAAATTTTCAAATATTCCAAGTTTCAGAATATGTTGAAGATTTTGAAGATTTCGAAGAAGGTTTCAAAGATTCCCGGAGTTCCAGGGATTGCAAAAATTCCGGATATGGAGAGTCTGAAGTGTCTGAAAATTCTGAAGATTCTGAATATTCTGAGTACTTCCAAGGCTGAAGAAGCCAAAAATCTGAATACTTTAAAACTGCAAAAATTCTCAAGATTATAAAAATTCCAAAAGTTCCAGAGTTATTCCGAGACTTTCGAGATTCTAAAAATCTCGAAGATTCCAGATATTCCCAGATTCCAGGGATTATAAACATTCTAAATGTTCTAAAGATTCCAAAAAATTTGAAGATTCTGAGAATTTTAAACATCATAAAGATTCTTACGATTTCAAAAATTCCAAACGTCCTAGAGATTCGAGAAATCAAAAAGATTCTAAAGATATTCTGAAGATTCTCAATGCTCAGAATATTTGGAAGACTGAGGATTCCAGAAAATCTGAAAACTGAAAATTACGGACGAATATAAAGATTCCAAAGATTTCAGAAGATCCAAAGGTCTCAGAGATCTAAGAATTCCAAAAATTCCGGAGAGTCCAAGACTCTTAGAGATTCCAGAGATTCTAAAGATTCCAGAAATTTTAAAATATTCCAAATTTCAGGATATGTTGAAGATTCTGAATATTTCGAAGAAGGTTTCAAAGATTCCCGAAGTTCCAGGGATTGCAAAAATTCCGGATATGGAGAGTCAGAAGTGTTTGAAAATTCTGAAGATTCTGAATATTCTGAGTATTTCCAAGGCTGAAGATGCCAAAAAAACTGAAAACTTTGAAAGTTCCAAAGATTTTGAAGTTTATAACGATTTCAAAAATTTTAGAGGTTCCAGAATTTCGAAAACTTTGGAAATCCGAGACTACAGAGATTCCAGAGATTCTAAGGATTCGAAAGATTCGAATTTTCGGAATATGTTGAAATCTCAAGATTCCAAAAAGTCTGAAAACTCTGAAGATTTCGAAGGTTTCATAGATTCCAGAAATCCCAGGGATACCAGTTTCTAAAAATTCTGGATATTACAGGATTTTAAAGATTCTGGAGATTCTGAATTTTCTAAAAACTCTGAAGATTTCTAATATTCTGAGTACTTCGAAGACTGAAGATGCCAAAAATCTGAAAACTGAAATTTCCAAAGATTTTGAAGTTTACAACGATTTCAAAAGTTTTAGAGGTTCCAGAAACTCTAAAGATTCGAAAGCTTTTGAAGGTGCTGGAATTTGAAGGAATCTAAAGATTCTGAAGATTCAGAATATTGAGCTGAAGAATCAAAAAAATTCTGAAGGTTTTAGAAAACATAGTCTTCTCTTCACAACAAGAAATTGAAAACATGTTTAAAATGGTTTAAAATGGTAAATTTCAATCGAACTCTATATTTCAGAATTTTTTGGAGATTTTTAGACAGCTTTGCTAGAATACCGGCAAAATGACCAAAAATCTTGTTGATCTCGTCCTCCAGAAGGTTTTTACAAATCCATTTCTCTGAAAATTCAAAAATCGCCAAAATGAAATATAGAACAAGTTTTAAAGTACTTATCTATCTACTATAAAAATTTTAATTTAAAGCCGAATACTTCGAAAATCAATGGTAATATCAAGTTTGGATTATTGTTCTTGATAGACCCATCATTCCTATACAACACAATTTTTTCATAATTCTTGGGTGCCCAGTTTTTCCGAAATTGCGCTAAATAAGTCCCTGACAAAAATGCCAGGATTATTCCGGAATCATCAACACGGTATATTTCTCGATTCAGGTCGTCAAAATCTATCCCTCAGGATTTTTTGGGAATTTTCAGCCGACTTTACCAAAATAATTTTTCAGTATATATCAGTATAAAATTTTTAGCTTTCTCCGGATACCGTTGAAAATTACCAAAAATTTTCTATTGTTGATTTGCACCTCCAGAAGTTTTTTATGGATTCAATTCTTTAAAAATTCCTACCAGTTTTACAAAATCGCCAAGTAAAATATGATAAATTTTGAGATGTTTTAAAAATTTTACTTTAAACCTGAATATTTTGAAAGCCAATGTTCGTATCGAATTTCAATTCTGTTTTCCGACAGACCCATCGTTCTTACGCAAATAGAAATTTTTTCATAATTTTTGGTTAGCCAGTTTTTCCGAAATCGCGCTAAATATGTCCTTAACAAAAATGGCAGGATTATTCCGGGATTTTCGATGTTCACCTGCAATTCTTTCCCGGAACCATCAACGCGGTACCCATGTTTCTCAATTCACCTCGTCGAAATCTATCTCTCTAGATTTTTTGGGAATTTTTAGCCAATTTTGTCAAAAGTTTAATTTTTCAATATCTTATTCTGTTTGAAATTTTTGAACTTTCTCTGGATACCGTCGAAAATTACCAAAAAAATTTCAATTGCTGATTTGCCCCTGCAGAAGTTTTTTATGGATTCAGTTCTTTGAAAATTCCTACCATTTTTCCAAAATCGTCAAAATAAAATATGATAAATTTTGAGATGTTTTAAAAATTTGACTTTAAACCTGAATATTTTGAAAGCCAATGTTCGTATCGAATTTCAATTCTGTTTTCCGACAGATCCATCCTTCTTACGCAAATATAAATTTTTTCATAATTTTTGGTTAGCCAGTTTTTCCGAAATCGCGCTAAATATGTCCTTAACAAAAATGGCGGGATTTTTCCGGGATTTTTGAAGTTCGCCTACAATTTTGTTCCGGAACCATCACCACGGTATGTTTTTCTATTCAGCTCGTCAAAATGTATCTTCCAGGATTTTATGGGCATTTTTAGCCAACTTTACCAAAAGCTCAATTTTTCAATCCCTGGCCGTATGAAATTTTCGAGCTTTCCCAGAATACAGTGGAAAATTACCAAAAAAAATCTATTGTTAATTTCGACCTCGAGAAGTTTGTCACGGCTTCATTTCTTTGAAAATTTCTACCATTTTTCCAAAATCGCCAAAATAAGGAGTGACAAATTTTGAGATAGTTTAAAAGTTTGACTTTAAACACGAAAATGTCGAAAATAATGTTCATATAGAGTTTAGATTATTTACGTCGATGGACCTTTCGTTCCTACGCAAATACAAATTTTTCCATAATTTTTGACCATAAGGTTTTCCCGGAATCGTCCAAAGTCCCTAACAAAAATGCCCGAATTTTTCCGGGATTTTTGAAGTTCGCCTACAATTTTGTTCCGGAACCATCACCACGGCATGTTTTTCTATTCAGCTCGTCAAAATGTATCTTCCAGGATTTTATGGGCATTTTTAGCCAACTTTACCAAAAGCTCAATTTTTCAATCCCTGACCATATAAAATTTTCGAGCTTTCCCAGAATACAGTGGAAAATTACCAAAAAAAATCTATTGTTAATTTCGACCTCGAGAAGTTTGTCACGGCTTCATTTCTTTGAAAATTTCTACCATTTTTCCAAAATCGCCAAATTAGAGAGTGACCAATTTTGAGACATTTTAAAAGTTTTATTTTATACCCAATAATTTTGAAAACAATCGTCGTATAAAATTTAGATTATTTTCGTCGATTGACCTCTCGTTCCTCGAATTTTTCCGGGATTTTTGAAGTTCGCCTGCGATTTTGTTCCGGAACCATCACCACGGTATGTTTTTCTATTCAGCTCGTCAAAATGTATCTTCCAGGATTTTATGGGCATTTTTAGCCAACTTTACCAAAAGCTCAATTTTTCAACCCCTGACCGTATGAAATTTTCGAGCTTTCCCAGAATACAGTGGAAAATTACCAAAAAAAATCTATTGTTAATTTCGCCCCGAGAAATTTGTCACGGCTTCATTTCTTTGAAAATTTCTACCATTTTTCCAAAATCGCCAAAATAGGGAGTGACAAATTTTGAGATATTTTAAAAGTTTGACTTTCAACCCGAAAATATCGAAAACTAATCGTCGCCGTCGTATAAAATTTGGATTATTTGCGTCCATGGACCTATTGTTTCTGCGTAGACGCAAAAATGGACATATATAGTATCAGCAGAGAGACCAACAGACAGACGGACGGAAACGGGGGACCTACATTTACATATCCTACGAGATGCGAAACATTGAAGAAACATGAAATTAAACAAAATCATCTTATTATAACCAAATCATCGATTTGTAACGGTCTCATTTGAAAAAATTAAGTGAATATCGAGATCAACAATTCTCAACGATTTTTTTTTTACATCACAGTATCCTGGCAGGACGAATTCGTCTTACCACCTTGCATTTTTTAAAAATCACAGTTGAATGCATTTCCGGCGGAACTTGTGGTGACGAATTTTTAACTAAATTTAAATACACAATTTAACCCTGAGAAAAACAAAATAAAAGACAACCTGAAAATTTGTTTCAAAAAATAATTTTGACGGGGATGAATACTATAATTTTACTATAAGTCCAATAAACACTTAATACAACGTTGGTTGTAGTTTCTCTAGAATTTCAGTGACATTAGATGACCTATTTCCAGGAAATCGGTAAAATAAATCGATTCCTAATAATCTAATAATGTTTTAGTAATACATAAGTAAAACTGTGAAAAAAATCACGAAAAATATAGTACAAGTAAAACAAAAATTTCAGAAAAAGAAAAAGAAAAATTAAACAAGTGGGCGAAAATACAGATGCAAAAACACGAAATCAAAATAATAAAAAACCTATATAAAAACGGAGTACCAAATACCAAATTTGGTCCCCTTTCGTGCTCCACCCACAACAAACCACCTCATCAAATATTCCTCTCCTCGAACCAGAAATGAATCATTTTCCAGCGCAACCTTCGTGACCCATCAAAATCGCCCATCCAAATCAGCACTTTTCTAGCCTTATTTACATTTTATATTCGATATTATTATTCCCGGTGTCAGAGCCGCCCGCGTCGCAAACGCATTTTTTGTCTCTAGCTTGTTTTTTGTTTTCATCGGCGACTCAGTAGGCCGTGGAGCTTTCGGTCCGACGCTACCTTGATGCCGATGATATTCACTTGTTTGTGCACCGGCCGGCAGTCGTTTGAAAGCGTTTGTGGGAAGCGGTCGTAGCTGGCGCTGCCCGTCTACGTCACTGCGTGAAACGAGTTCTGTGTTTTTTCTTCGCGGTTCTTCGGTTCTTTGTAACTGAAAAGTTTTTTCGGTTTCCGGTTAAAATATGTGCGGGTTGTAGTGGAGTGAAGGGTTCAGAAGGGATTATTCATCGGGAGAGTTTATGCTGTAAGTGGTTTTGAGGATTTTCTTCTAGGGACAAAGAAAAAGAGTGAGGTTTGAGTGTGCTGTGGCTAAGTAAGCGCTTGTTTTTGCTTGATTGTTTTTGGATGGGTGACACAAAATGGCAGACTTTTTGACATTTTGAGTGATTAGTCATTGGCAGTGATCTTTGTAAGAGTGTTTGGTCGCTTGTTGGGGTCTCCAAACGGGTTTTGATTTAAAATCACCACACACTCTCAAAGCCATTGCCATTTTTGCAAAATGTCAATCTTCTATTATAAATTTTAATCAATGTTAAGCATCACAGTTGGCATGTTAAACTGTCAAGTGTTTTAATTAAAGTCGGTACACTTTTAGGTCACTGATCAACGCCTTCCTTGATTGTCCAAGTTGTCCAAATTTAACGTAAAATCAGTTTACTTTCTTGGGGCCAATGTTATCTGATCGAGTCTCTTTTGATTATAAACGTCAACAATCTAATTAGTGCATTCAGTCAAGTCCATTGCCATTTTTTACAGAGCCCAAACTACTTTTGGTTTTAAAATTCAGGATTGTGACTACTGGTAATAATAGACTTCTAATTGGGAACCTGTTAAAACTTGCCATAAATTTTAATAAAAGTTTTAACATGGGCGTGAAATGTCAAGTTTGTGGTAGCCACCTATTTTTACGCATTTTTGTGTTACCTTAGACGAATTAGTCAACTTTACACTTTATCACGAAGTCGGTGTAGTTCATAAATTTTAATGAAAAGTGTAAATTGCGTGTTAATATGTCATATGGTAGTTTTAATTAAAGTAACTACATTTTGTTGAAGTCGTTTTTATTGCAAAGCTTGTCAAGTTTTAGTCAAATGTGAATTATGATTGTGTTCGTTGTAAAATTTTGTTTCATTGTGTATTTCAGTGGCCAAATTTCAAAGTACCGGTTATACGTACCTACTTTAAAATACCAACCGCTAAACGTTTTTTCCAGTTTGGTCTTATAACAAGAACTTGCGTTATCTTTTATAATCAAATTCTTTTTATATTGGTGCTTCAATTCAATTTTAATCGAAATTCACTTTTTTTTTATTACTCGTACTACACCAAAATTGAGTAAAGTGCAAAAATGATGTTTTCGTGTTGACAGGTTTTTTTAACTTGACGTTGTTTCAAGGCTTGCTAGTCCAGATTTTTAATATTTTTGCGATTTTATAGAATTCTCACACCATTATTAAAAATCACACTTCATACCAACACACAGATTTTATTTAAGGAAAAATTTTACTTTTTATCTTTATCCAGATTTTATGTCTCTTACGGTTTGCTTACCTGAAGGGAACAAAGTTTCCATTAATTAGATGCGTATGAACACGTTTTGGGGTTAAATGTTCAACGGCTTCTGATTCGCAAAATTCTTCGGACAAACAACCCGAAAGCAGGTAAGCGTTGTGGATCTTAAATATACCTACATTATTTTATTGACTCAAGAAGACAGTTATTTTAAATTATGCAAGCATGGTTTTATGTTTCAATGCAAGAAAGGGTTCATATCGTCCGCATTAATATTCAACGCCAGTTTTAACTGTTATCTGTTATTCAAACCTATATTTTTAAGGAAATCTTAGATCGATCGGTTCCACTTCGTAAACTAAAAAGTGTAGCAAATAATCTGTTCGAAGATAAAAATTTAAGACAAAAAATCGGTAGATTGAAAGATCATCGAGCGGATCAAATTTGCGACTTCCCTGACAAAAATGACAATGGAACAGACAAATTTCGTTATATCTCACTAAGATTAAACATTTCTAACGTAACACTTTTACAATAAGACACAGGGGACCCCTAAGATTCTGTAGGATTCGTGGAAAAAAGACAGAAGGGGACCCTGAGATTCTTTAAGATTCATGAAAAAAACAGACAACGGGTCTGAGATTCTTTCACATTCTGTAAAACAACACACACAAGAAGCCCTTGAGATTTTTCAAGATTCGTGGAAAAAAAAACAAATAAGGGACCCCTGAGATTCTTTCAAATTCTTCAAAAAAAACTCACACAAAGTGCCCTTGAGTATATTTAAAATTCGTGAAAAAAGACAGAAGGGGCCCCTGAAATTCTTTAAGATTAATAAAAAGGACACAAGAAGCCTCTGAAATTCCGTAAGATTCGTGAAAAAAGACAGAATGGGCTCCTGAGATTCTTTAAAATTCCAAAAAAAAACACACACATACACACACAGTTCCTGAGATTCTTTAAGTTTCATGAAATAAATGGGTCCCTGAGATTCCTTTGGATTAGTGAAAAAAAGACAGAATTTAAGACTCTGAGACTTTAAAAATAAAGGAGCCTCTGAGATTTTTAAGATTAATAAATAAGACACAAGGGATGCCTAAGATTCTACAGAATTTATGAAAAAAAAAGACAAAAGGGGTTTTTGAGATACTTTTAAGATTGATGAAAAAAACAGACACAAGAGGCCTGAGATTCTTTCACATTCTTTAAAAAACACACAGGAGCCCTTGAGATTTTCAAGATTCGTAAAAAAAAAAGAATTAAGGGACACCTGATATTCTTTCACATTCTTAAAAAAAACACACACACATACACAAGCAGTTCCTGAGATTCTTTAAGTTTCATGAAATAAATGGGTCCCTGAGATTCCGTTGGATTAGTGAAAAAAAGACAGAATTTAAGACTCTGAGACTTTAAAAATAAAGGAGCCTCTGAGATTCTTAAGATTAATAAATAAGACACAAGGGACGCCTAAGATTCTACAGAATTCATGAAAAAACAAGACAAAAGGGGTCCTTGAGATACTTTTAAGATTGATGAAAAAAACAGACACAAGAGGCCTGAGATTCTTTCGCATTCTTTAAAAGAACACACAGGAGCCCTTGAGATTTTCAAGATTCGTAAAAAAAAATAATAAAGGGACCCCTGAGATTCTTTAAGTTTCTTGAAATAAAAGGCAGAAGGGGTCCCGGAGATTCCGTGGGATTCGTGAAAAAAAGATAGAATTTAAGACTCTGAGACTTTAAATACACACACAAGGAGCCTTTGAGATTCTTAAGATTAATAAAAAAGACACAAGGGACCTCTGAGATTCTGTAGGATTAGTGAAAAAAAAGACTGAAGGCTCCCTGAGATTCTTTAAGATCCATAAAAAACACACAAGGGATCCTGAACTTCTTCCACATTCTTTAAAAGAACACACAAAAAGAGTCCTTGTATTCTTCAAGATTCGTGAAAAAAATAAAGGACCCCTGAGATTCTGTAAAATTCTTTAAAACAAAACACGCACGAAGAACCCCTGTGTATATTTAAGATTCGTTAAAAAAAGACAGAAAGGGGCTCTGAAATTCTTTAAGATTGATAAAAAAGACACGAGGGGCCTTTGAGATTCTTAAGATTAATAAAAAAGATAGGAGATTGCGTAAGGTTCGTGAAAAAAAAAACAGAATGTAGGACTTTGAGACTTTAAAAATACTCACACAAGGAGTCTCTGAGATTCTTAAGATTAATAAAAAAGACACAGGGGGCCCCTGAGGTTCTGTAGGATTCGTGAAAAAAAAACTGAAGGGTCCCTGAGATTCTTTAATATCCATAAAAAACACACAAGGGATCCAGAGATTTTTTCACATTCTTTAAAAGAGTACACAAAAAGAGTCCTTGTATTCTTCAAGATTCGTGAAAAAAAAATAAGGGACCCCTGAGATTCTGTAAAATTCTTTAAAATAAAACGCACAAAAGGGACCTCTAAGATTCTTTCACATTCTTTAAAAAAACACACACACGAAGGGCTCCTATGTATATTTAAGATTCGTGAAAAAAAGACAGAAGGGGGCTCTGAAATTCTGTAAGATTGATAAAAAAGACACAAGGGGCCTTTGAGATTCTTAAGATTAATAAAAAAGGTACGAGATTGCGTAAGGTTCCTGAAAAAAAAAAGACAGAATGTAGGACTTTGAGACTTTAAAAATACTCACACAAGGAGTCTCTGAGATTCTTAAGATTAATAAAAAAGACACAGGGGGCCCCTGAGGTTCTGTAGGATTTGTGAAAAAAAAGACTGAAGGGTCCCTGAGATTCTTTAAGATCCATAAAAAACACACAAGGGATCCTGAGAGTCTTTCACATTCTTTAAACGAACACACAAAAGGAGTCCTTGTATTCTTCAAGATTCGTGAAAAAAAAAATAAGGGACCCCTAAGATTCTGTAAAATTCTTTAAAACAAAACGCACAAAAGGGACCTCTAAGATTCTTTCACATTCTTTAAAAAAACACACACACGAAGAGCTCCTGTGTATATTTAAGATTCGTGAAAAAAAGACAGAAGGGGGCTCTGAAATTCTTTAAGATTAATAAAAACAGACACAAGGGGCCCTTGAGATTCTTAAGATTAATAAAAAAGATACGAGATTGCGTATGGTTCGTGAAAAAAAGACAGAATGTAGGACTTTGAGACTTTAAAAATACTCACACAAGGAGCCTCTAAGATTCTTAAGATTAATAAAAAAGACACAGGGGACCCCTGAGGTTCTGTAGGATTCGTGAAAAAAAAACTGAAGGGTCCCTGAGATTCTTTAAGATCCATAAAAAACACACAAGGAATCCTGAGATTCTTTCACATTCTTTAAAAGAACACACAAAAAGAGTCCTTGTATTCTTCAAGATTCGTGAAAAAAAAAATAAGGGACCCCTGAGATTCTGTAAAATTCTTTAAAACAAAACGCACAAAAGGGACCTCTAAGATTCTTTCACATTCTTTAAAAAAAACACACACGAAGAGCTCCTGTGTATATTTAAGATTCGTGAAAAAAAAGACAGTAGGGGCTCCTGAGATTCTACAAAATTCTTTAAAAAAACACACAAAATAGCCCCTGAGATTTTTTAAAATTAATAAAGAACATAAAAAGGCGGATTTACTACTACTTTTAATCTTAGGGTATGAAAATCTCTTATCAATCTAACCTTGACTTCCAAAGTTAAACGTAAAAAGCGTAGCCGATAATGTCTAATTTAAG